ATCCAGCCTGGGCCCACCAAAAACAACAATGATGGCTGCAACCAAAAAATAGCTGGGCGTTGTGGTGGGTGCCTCTGGTCCCAGCTACTTGGGAGGCTGAGGCAGGAGACTCACTTGAGCCCAGGAGTTGGAGGTTGCCGTGAGCTGTGATGCCATGACACTCTACCCAGGGGGATAGCTTGAGGCACTGTCTCAAAAAAAAAAAAAAACCAAAGTGGAAAAGTAAAATTGCCTAGAACAAAGGTGGTCAAACTATAAGAATAGGCCAGGTCTACTGTTAACTCTTTCAATGGGGCAATGTAAAGTTCTTTATGAATGTAGACAAGGTGCTCACCATGAAGCACCCATTGCCAAGTATAAGCTAAGAGCATAACTCCAAAGTGTAAATCACTCATTTTCTCATACTTCTTAGTATACCCTAGGAGGAGTGGTTCTTAAAAGTATGAGCTCCAAAACAATTACTGGAATTACCTGGGAAGTTATTATGAATGCAAGTACTTAGACAGCTCCAGATAAGGAGTCAGAAACTCTGGAAACGTGGCCTAACAATGCATTTATCAAGCCAAGTAATTTTGATCTGCACTAAAGGTAGAAAACTCCTAAGGGAAAACCAGAATTTTTATTTATAATTGCTGCCTCCATTTACCTTCATTTTAGATGAATCTTAATCATTAGTGTGTTTTTTAATATATCCATTTTAACTGAACATAATATACCTAACATATACAAATTGATGGAAATCTTTTAGAAGGGCCAAGACAGTTCGGAGAAAATAAATTCTCTTTATTCATTTTAAATTTTATCATTAAAAAATGAGTACTTTTTGGCACACTTCCTGGGTAAAGAATTCAACTACAACTCAGATGCTACCTAACAACACAATGTAACCTAATCGTTATGTACCCTTATATTAATCTGAAATTTAAAAAAATAAGTACTTTTTAAAAATAGTGGTTTTGTGAGGAAATGTAGTTAAAATATTCCATGTCAACAAGCTGCGAATGTTTAGTTACTTAATGGACTTTATTTAATTCAGAAAATTTCTTTTACCTTTTTTAAAACAGCCTGGAAGAGTGGTGACTCTCGTTGAAGATCCTGGGGTATGGTATAATTATCTTTTTTGAATAGTTTTCAATCATATAAATGTTGAGATGTTTCAATAATCTCAATAATGTTTCAGTTTTAATAATCAGTGAAATTCTACTAATAGTCATCACAAACAATTTGCCTATAGTAGGTCTAGAATTCTTCTATGTATTTGTAAGGGTTTTTTGTTTTGTTTTTTGAGACAGTGTCTCACTATGTCGCCCTCAGTAGCGTCACGGCTCTCAGCAATCTGAAACTCTTGGGCTTAAGCAATTCTCAGCCTCCCAAGTAGCTGGGACTACAGGCTCCCACCATAATGCCCAGCTACTTTTTTGTTGCAGTTGTCATTGTCGTTTAGCTCGACAATGAGTTCGAACCCGCCAGCCTGGGTGTATATGGCCAGCACCCTACCCACTGAGCTATGGACGCCATCATATTTCTGGGATTTTTTCATGTTTGTCTGTTTAAAATGAAGCCAGTGGGAAAAGTTGGGATGCAAAATGCAAAGTAGACAACAAAATACAACCAAATGGCATGCAGTCTCATTTTGTGGGGAGTTTCTTTTCTTTTTTTTTTTGAGACAGAGCCTCAAGCTGTCACCCTGGGCAAAGTGCTGTGCAATCACAGCTCACAGCAACCTCCAACTCCTGGGCTCAAGCGAGTCTCCTGCCTCTGCCTCCCAACTACAGGCACTGGCCACAATGCCCTGCTATTTTTTGGTTACAGCCATCATTGTTGTTTGGCGGGCCGGGGCTGGATTAGAACCCACCAGCTCAGGTGTATGTAGCTGGCGCCTTAGCCGCTTGAGCCACAGGCGTCGAGCCGGGGAGTTTCTTAATAACTTTGTAGACTAAGAATTTTGTAGTTCCCTTTGACATTAATAGAAATAGCCCCCAGAATTCTAGACTACCACTAAGAATGAAATGGAATCCTTAAAGCTCTCTTCACATTTGCTAGCAGTCTAATATTTTCAAATTAGGAATTCTAATTTCTAATATTTTAAATTAGGAATTCTCACTTTATTTCTTAATGTTATCAATAGCACCTGTGTGTTTTTTTTTTTTTATATATACAGGTTTGGAGCACCAGAAAACTTTCATTTCAGTGACAATCTTCAGTTTCTTAAATATTTTCAATCATTTTATTGGAATACAGATTAAAAATTGTATATTATGAAATTAAAGATTTAACTTTGGAAAGAACTTTAATATACAAAAATCAAGCAGCTAGTAATAGTGTAGATTAGGAGATGCTTTCATAATTTACACTATGAAAAACATCTAGAAAAAAACTTTTACCTGATAAAACTTTAACTCCAAATTAAACAGTTAATAAACAAATGATACTTTGTTTCTAGATAGAACTTTTTAATGACCAAATGAAAACCTAATAATTTTTATTTCAGTCCCATTAATTAAAAGGAAAAAACATGAAAAAAAAATTAAGATCAATATTGTACTGTTTATGATACAAAGAAATTATTCAGAATGGAAGTTTCAAAATGCTAACTTCTTTTACTGTTTAATGTGTTCCTCTTCTGTGCAGAATGTATTTTCTTAAATCACAACATATATTCACCTATTTTAATTAAGCTTTTAAATATTAAATAATATATATTTTTTTTCATTTTTCAACAGGGTTGTGTATGGGGTGTAGCTTACAAATTGCCAATGGGAAAGGAAGAAGAAGTAAAAGCATACCTTGACTTCAGAGAGAAAGGAGGCTATAGGACCACAACGGTCGTTTTTTATCCCAAAGATTCCACAACAAAACCATTCAGTGTGTTGCTATATATTGGAACATGCGATAATCCTAATTACCTTGGTCCTGCACCTCTGGAAGACATTGCTGAACAAATTTTTAATGCAGCTGGTCCAAGTGGAAGAAACACAGAGTATCTTTTTGAACTTGCCAATTCTATTAGGAACCTTGTGCCAGAAGATGCAGATGAGCATCTTTTCTCTTTGGAAAAATTAGTAAAGGAACGTTTAGAAGGAAAATAAAACCTAAATTTCATGTAAAGACTTACTGACTTTTCCAAACAGCTTTTAGTCTTCAGAGAATTCACTTCAATGTACAATGATAATATAGTTTGAAAATGTGCTTACTTAAAAGTTCTTATTTTAATGTAATCAGGATATTATCTAAATTTACAGATTAATTTTAAGTGTCCTGAAACACATACGTTCAAGAGATTGTGATACAATAAGAGAAAAATTCAAATTTTAATAACATAATAATTTCCTAACTATGACATTGAACACTTGTTCACTAAACCTAAGTTTATTAGAAAAATACAGTGAGAAACCAATTTATAGTTTTCATATGAAAGCTATAACCCAACTATAGCCCAAGAAGAAGGGGAAAGAGGAGAGGGAGGGGAGGGGTGGAGGGAGGGTAATTAGTGGAACCACATCTATGGTGCATTTTATAAGGGTACAGGTAAATTTACTAAGTGTAGAGTATAAATTGTCTTAACACAATAACTAACAAAATGCGGTGAAGGCTATGTTAACCAGTTTGATGAAAATATTTCAAATGGTACATAAAACCAGCACATTGTACCCCATGACTGCATTAATGTACACAGCTATGATTTAATAAAAAACAATTAAAAAAAGAAAAATACAGTGAAGGACTCAGTTTAATTCTTATTTTTATCCAAGTAAAACAAAAATATCCTTTTGTTAAATATGACAATACTATTTTGAAGTTATAGAGAATTAAACCAAAAGTCCAATAAATATAAGGTTATGCCTTCAATATATTCCTTTACTGTTCTATAACCATTAAAATAATGTATGATTAGAAATATATGGTAATATAGACAACATTTTAGCCTTGATTGTGTATTTCTTTGTTATTCATATACTATATGAGACCCTTTCAAATTTAAGGCAAAAACTGGCTTTTTTTAAATGTAAAAATTTCTTTGGAAATATAATGTACTATATCTCTCCTTTTTTGAATAAATACATTTTTCTCTGTGAAAAAAGCTAAAATTTGTCTAATTTAATTAGATAAGTCACATCTACTAATGACGTAATCTGTAATTCATTTTGTATTAATCTTATACTGAAAATGGAAAAAAAAGATGGATTTTCTAATATTTCAAATTAATGAAAACATATAGATAAGGAAAGTTCAGTGTTTGAAACAGTTTTAGAGTTACTTTTTTTTAAAGAAGTGGCATCACCTGATTATTTGTTACACAACTTTTCTTTTTCTTCCCATATCTTGTCACCTAAACAAAACTATCAGGTGTTCATGCTGCTACTCAAGTAAGAAACAGATATTTAAATTATTAACTCACATTAGCCTTGATTCAAACTAATCAAATTATTCCTGATTATAGGTGATTTCTTTCCCAATAGGATATATACATATAGTCTCTCTAGAATCTTTCAACATAAAAAAAATTTCAGTATTACATTAAATTTAATATGAAACTTGCTGAAAACTCCCCAACCCAGCCCCAATATCTTAATTAGTACAGAAGTTTTTCACATAAATTTAAGCTCTTCTTCATGTCCTTTTCATATTTTTCTATTTATAAACATCATAGTAATTTACTATGCTACATAACTATTCTAAATATTCTCCAACATTTTAATCATTAATTTTTCAGAAGGCATTTCATTTGTTCTGTACAACAGAAAGGGCACTAAATTTATTAATAAATCTCTCATAAAGATGTGCTAGGCACTTTATATATGAAGGCATGTGTTCCCATTTTTTGGATAATTTCAGCTTGTTTCCACAGTAATTTGCACTCAGTTATACACCTAACAAATGGCAGAAATCCAGGTCTCTAAAGCACAAGATCCTTCTACATTACATTTAAAAACCCGTCTGAACTTAATCATTTTCAGTACCCTGTACTCTTCTTTTAGGTGGTAAGATGTCCATCCAGAAGATATGTGAATATGCATGTGGTACCACCATCATTTATAGGCAGGCTGTAGTCCAAAGAGCCCAAGGGATACTAATTTTCATTAGGATAAGGAGAAACCTGACTGAAACAGAGAAGTTAAATTCCCAAATTAGAATGAAGCTAAGGTTTGAAGTCTCCATGCTAGGAAGAAATGTAACTCCAGTAAGTATGTTATACCCAGGTTATCTAAAACATAACAATTTTCCTAGCAGAACTGCAAATCTTGCTGGTGCAGTGCCTCACCAAGCACTCTGGGAAACCAAGGCAAGTGGAATGCCTGAGCTCAGGAGTTCAAGACAAGCCTGAGCCATAGCGAGATGCGGTCTCAAAAAATACCAGGCTGTAGTCCCAGCTACTCAGGAAGCTGAGGCAAGAGGATCTCTTGAGCCCAAGAGTTTGAGGTTGCTGTGAGCTATGATGCCATAGCACTCATACTGAGACTCCATCTCAAAAAAAGAAAAAAAAACAAAACTGGATTTCTCTCCTTATAGCCCTTAGATCTCACTTACACAACATTTTCTCTCACTCTTCAGAGTAAAAATATTAGCTTCAGGTTAGGTTTTAGAAATTCAAGAAAAGTATGAGTATAAACCCTAGATTTAGAAGAGAGCATTATAACCAGTGAGTAACAAGAAAATTTTAAAAACTTTTAAAATTTCTTTTACATCTCTAACACAGTAGATTTTTTAAAACCATTTACTGCCATGTGAGTTGTATTTAACTTACACTAGTTTTGAGCCCGGGGTTTCATGAAGCATATATAACTCACAGGTATCTTTACCTGCCTTGATCTCATTAAACACCATGGCTCCAAGGGAAAATTTTTTTTCTAGTGTGGCAGTCAGTATGTTAAACTAGGACTTTCTACTGCTATTCCTACTATTACAGTACTCCTCCCCACTTAAGCACCATCTAGATACCACTACCTGCCTAAATAAAAAATTATTTAGGGAAACAAAGGTTGTGATGATATCAACTCTGAATATTTGAAAGCACTGAATGTATGTCCATTTAATTTTAATGTATGTAAAGCATTACACAGTACCTGATATAATACTGAATAACTTATCTAATGTTACTTTTTATCATATATTCAGAGTACCACAGGTTCAACATCTCTCCAAGATTCATATTACAATTATGCCTATAGTTTAAGAACCGTATTCGGTATATCAGATATTTTTCAAACGAATTCCACCCAACATTACTTTCTATAATATTAGATCTCTCTTTTCCATGAAGATGTATCTTAAAAGTTAGAACTTCAGAGCATACTCTTAAGTGCTTATCCCTACATCCTGAGCACTCACAAGTATCATGTAAGCATTAGATTTCTATAATTTACCATTCATGATTCTTTCAAGAAAATTATATAAATGTGCTTTAAATTCCCATTCATCACATTATGTTAAAACTTACCTATCATGCCTGTATTTTTCAGCAAAAATACTATGATTACATTTTCTATTTATTTTTGTAGCTTTTAGCAATCTATTTTTATGCATCTTAAATTCACCTTAAGCATATACTAAAAAGACCCCCAAACTCTATAATTCTGTGGCTACCCTGTTGAAGAATTTTAGCTCCTCCAAATTCTTTGTACCCTTAAACTGACATTAAAAAAAAAAAAAATTTAACTTCTCCAAAGACAACTACTACATTAAAATTATTTTTCTGTAAGTCAAATTTATATGATGAAAATCAGCTTTAATGGCTCGGTGCTCATAGCTCAGTGGTCAGGGCACCAGCCACACGCATGGGGGCCGGGAGATTCAAACCCAGCCTAGGCCTACTAAACAACAATGACAACAACAAAAAAATAGCCGGGCGTTGTGGTGGGCACCTGTAGTATCAGCTACTTGGGAGGCTGCGGCAAGAGAATTGCTTAAGCCCAAGAGTTTGAAGTTGCTGTGAGCTGTGATATCAAAGCACTCTACCAAGGGTGACATAGTGAAATTCTGTCTCAAAAAAAAAAAAGAAAAGAAAAAGAAAACTAGCTTTATTTTATTTCAGGGTTTTCTCATACTTAAGGTTCATTTTACTTTTCTTATATTTCAGTTTCCTTTTCTGTCCCATTTAATTGTATTGACTCCTCTCTTTATAAATGATCTGCCTATACACATATACACACAATAAGTGGGAAAACCACCATTAACACTACAATTATTTTTCCACCTTTCTTACTCTTGACAAATTTCTTTTTAACTACACAGTGTTCTAATTATCAACTTACCATAATGTCTCTTTAATCCAACTTTACTTTGCCATACTCCATCCAGTCATCATAGTCAATGACCGTTTCCTGATTCAACCAAAAGACTTCAGACACTAGTGATAAAGCAGCCCACATCACTAAGGTCAAAAGAGCAGACTGTTTTGTTGTAGTTCCATTTATAGCTCTTAGACTATTCTTTATCAGAAACAGAACTCATCAAATCCTAGGTTTCATTTACTTTTTACATGGGTAACTTCCATTCCTTAGCCTACTTTCTCAACCTTTTTACAACTCTACATGCCAGATACATGAAGGCAGCTCATTGAGCTACACAGAATTCATCTCCCTTCCCAAATAAAAAAAAATTGCCCACATTACTTCCCTGCCCATGATACACATTAAACACTGAATAATGGTTAGAACAGGGAAAAAATGAACAGGCTTTTAAAGATACATAAATTTATAAGATGGTATTTTCATCATATTCACAAATTGTAATTGTGCCTTTTTAATAATACATTTTAACTGGTATTTCATAAAACTCTATGTACCATTTCTTTAAGAGTTGAAAAAACTTTTAATAGGAGACCATGCAGCCGAGATGGCTCTAGTACCTTGAGTCCCTATGTAAGCAAACTGAAGTCCAATGTAAATAGTAAAAGAAAACTTAATCTTTGTATTCTATTTCTTTAATAAAAAGTTGATAAATTACAGTTGTATACATTTCTGGGGTACAAAGTGATGCTAATATTTATTAATACAATGTGGAATTAAATAAAGCTAATTAACATATCCATCATCTCAAATACTTACTTTTTTTGATTTTCCAAAGTTTTATTAAGAAAACTTTCAGGTCCCAAACAATAAAACAAAAAAGAAAAGGAAAATTTTCAGTCAGGGGCAGTGGCTCACTCCTGCAATCCCAGCACTCTGGGAGGCCCAGGTGGGTAGATAGTTTGAGCTCATGAGTTCACAACCAGCCTGAGCAACATCAAGCCTCCGTCTTCAAAAAAAGAATAGCTGGGTGT